TTTAACCTCAGTTACACAGGATAACTAATGCACACTTATACAAAACCATAAGTGAGGAAGAACATCACTAAAAATAAAACCTCCAAAGTAATTAGGATAACAGTGTTAGCATTTACCCCAAGAAAGTTAAACTTAGTTTAAGTAACATTTTCACAATTATGTATAGAGTGTTGAATGAACAGTACATTTTATATATGAATAATTAGCGTAAAAAGCAGAAAGAATAGCATATTGCAAAATACAAATGCTTGAGAAAAAAAAATGTAAAAAAAGTTGAAAGTCTAGGCAAAAAGTGTCAAAACACTTTCTGTCCAAAGGGATAAAGCCAGGTCATTTTATGCTGACAATCCAGAAAAGAGGAGTTTTGTTGAAAATGATAAATAAAATGAGGACTTTTATTTTGAAAAACATCTTTCGGTAAAATGACATAGTAGTCCATATTAATATCATGTAAAACATGTGTAGTTTATGAATGTTGATTTAAGCATTCATGAACATGTTATGAAGTGTTTATGTAAGGTGATATGATTGTGTTATGTAGACACCCTTCAAAGAAAGTGTTACCAAACTTTTAAATATATTATTCAGTGCAGAATGTGTTATAAAGTCCCTATGTAGGCAGCCATCAAAAACAAACGAACAAACAAAAACTTTATAAGGTCCTAGTAGGCCTAGAAGAACTTGTATCATGTAAAGAGTGGTCATATGCCCAGCTACTTCTTGTTCTTTAGTTTTCATGACCTCATCTGTGCTTGCAACACACATGCACATGCGCAAACCTATTTCCTTTTTGGTCTGAAACTGAGTTTGGCCATGTGCTTCCTTTTTTGTGACTATATGTCTTAACCACAGTCGTGGGGGTTGGGTGTTGGGTGATTACAGCTTGTTGTTCTTCATCACAGTAGATTTGATCTGCCTCTGTCTGATGAATAAATTCCTTTTAAAATCTTCTTTAAAGCTACTTTAGGTTGTACCTGGGAAGATCTTTTAGAAAAACTTTCAGAGACGTCAGCTTATGAGAAAGTCTGTTGTATATAGGCCACCTGATGTGTTCTAATTGTGCAGTGCAAGTCTGATCATTGTAATACATTCTGATCTGATAGTGACTGTTTTAAAACTTTGCCAGCAATAATTCCTGTGTGCATATATTTGCAAATATGCATATATTGTGATTTATTAAGATCTAAATGTAGTCATAGTAGTTAGAATCACTTACTACTACCATCACCACTACAAAAAACAGTCAATAAGTTTCGCTACATTATAATATTTTACATTAAAACACTCTTAATAACTTTGCATGTTGATTTTCATCAGTCTTAGTTTTAAGTTATGTTTTTATGAGTCACTATGTTCCCAGCATGCATCGCTTTCTTCTCACTTCTACATTGCTAATCACAGTGCAGTGTGGTTGGTCATCAGCATTGCATGTGGTTTATTTCTGTGTCTTTGCTGATGGCCAGATTAAGCCCTCTGCCCAGCATTGGTCTCTGCCATCACACCACTGTGATAGCTATCAGGCCGAAGTGTGCTTGTGGGTAATGCAGCCTTTTCTCTGTGCATGTACAGAAAGATATAAGGGTTCAGGTTCAAGTAACAACTTATGTGGGTTTGTGGTACTTTGTCCATCCATATTTAATTGCAAACAGGAGTTTAAACACATGCAAAAAATCTGAATACCCCACCATTATCAAATTTTCAGACATTTTTTCATTTTTATGTATTTACTTTCTGTGCATATGTCCACAGATAAGCATAAAAAAAGATATGTTAAGAAAGAAAATTCAAAGTGGGAAAAAACATATTCACATCATGCATTGAAATATATATACACATGTAAAGGTTAAGAATGAAAATACATCATGTTCTACATGTTATATTTTTCCCACAATTAAGTTTTTCTTTTTGACATTTTAACATATTTTAATCTTCTACTCAAATCAAAATACAATGCTAATTCTTTTTGTGCTCCTGTATTTTAGATTCAGACACTGGGACCCTGATAACCCAAGTGACTTCACCACAGCTAGGTGGAGCTGTGTCAAAACCACAATGTTACCAAGGCCTACATTTAATGTGGTTGATTGTAAACCAACATAAAGATTGTATCCTGGGCAATTCAATATACAGAACTACTTTTTTGCATGCAAAATATAAAGTTGTTAGTTTATTAGGTACCATATAGTGGGACTTCATAGGTTTACATTTACTTACTGTGGACCATCAGTTGCTGTCCAAAGTGTCAGCCACTCCCTACTTCGTTCATCATGGAAAAGCACCACCATGAGGCCATCTCTGACCAGATTATTCAGAAGGTGGAGCATCCTTAGCACTGCAGTGACATGGCAGTGGCATGCTGACATGGGAGTGGCATGAGAGTCTCAAGCACAGCAGTGTTGAAAAGTGTACACTTCATAGCCACTTACTATTTGTGTTAGTCATCCTCAAGCCTTTCATCAGTTTCTGACCACAGGTCTAATGCTGGCTCTATATTTCTGATGAACCTAGCAGTGACACTGACTTGTGAAAGTTCACTGATACTACTGTTCTAGATGTACTCAAACCAGCATTTCCCAAAATGCATTTTGGGAAATCGCAGTGTCCTCAAACTCACTATGGAATTTCATTCATGATTTGTATGCTAAGACAAAAATTTGGCCGACTTACATAATAGTGCCTTAAAATGCAAATAAGGATCTATTTTGGTGATAGCCTATGTTTGGATGGTCACTACTGCAAACACACATTCTATGACCAACATAGATCCATAGGTCTAAAACATGAATTGGAATCCTGAGTAATTTTTAGAACATTTAAATTTCCAATGATGCACCTTTAATTTCAGTAAAACACCACTGATCACTACATCAGCTGAATGTTTACTAAAGTGCATTAGTCTCTGATTACCATACAGTGAACAAAGGAACATTAGCTAATTAGCCAATGTTAACACTGGTTGCAGTACCACCATTAACTTTAATGCTTTTTAACTTTGATGCTTTTAATGTCTATGACTACAAAAAGAACCCAATTTCAGCCTCACTCAAACACTAATGCTGGTTGATTTTGCAGTTGGCAAATAGTGATGCAGGTTGATGATGAAAAAGTGTCCAAATAAATTCATTGATTGATATGTTTGCCACAAATTTAGAAAACTAAATAGTTCACACTGGAATAGCACAGTACAAATTAGGAAGCAGGGATCCACTTATACTGTATCATCTTCACCATCTAGCTGATTCTGCCAGATCTGCTACAGCGTAGAGTGAAGAGCAAAAGGAGACAAAGACTGAGCAAAATAAAATGAGAGAGGGTTGGTTTCGCATACAGGGATTAATTCTGGTCTTGAACTGAACCTTTTCAATGGAGAATCTCCATTCCAGAATGCTGTGCAGTCCAGGACTAGGCTTATTACTTTTCTGAGAAATCCACCCAAAAATACTGTTACAACCTTAATTTATCTGCTTAGAACTACCTTTCACTGATGTAATAGGTCAAAGGTCAAAAAATATTTACTCGCAATATTTCAGAGTATTTTGGCAGCTTGATTCAGCCGCTCGCTACATTGGGTTTTCTTGAAAAGCAACATGAAAGCAACCATGCACAACATGAAAGCGGCCTCAACAGCCAGGAGGAAGTAGAGTAGAGATTGGTTCAAAGGTGGAACTGTACCTAAACAACCACAACACAGAGACACTTTCATATTGACAATTCAATTCCGCTTTATGTGTTTCAAATCTTTACAGTGCTGCATACATCATCAAATATGCAGGTCTAATGCAACATGAATGTGTGGCACTTTTTTCAGATTGCAGTTGAAACTAGACTCTGCAGGAAGGTAGATCTCAAGCATCAGCATAGCTGGTGATCATTGATCTAAAGATAGTTGTAAAGTAGCAAATAAAGGTGGCGAAAGGGATCCATAGGAGTGATTCTGAATTACTTGTTATGCTAGATTACTAGCATACCAGCTATATAAACTTTAAACTAACTGACTATCTCAAGTTATCTTGCCCTTTACCATTAACCCTTTAAGATGCACTTTTTTTAGGACAAAGGCATAAATTCTTGTAGACCCCTGGATTCAACACAATCTCTGCTAATAAAATTTATTTACAATAAATATATAAGATTTATTTACAAATGTACTTACATGTATTCTACTGTATTTGTGAATTAGCCCATAAAACCGCATTAGCACATACAATGTTGTAATGTTTAAACCATGATATCAAATGTACATTTTAACACAAAATCCACACAAAACACTTACCTAAAATAGAAGTTATGGAAGTTTTTACAAATTTTTGTTTTTAGGTTATGCCCTTTTATCTAGGCAGTGTCCCTCCATGTTTTTTAGAACACTTATACATAAAAGTTCTCTTAACCGTTTCAGTCTACAGTTAAAAAAAAAAGAGCACTTTGCAAACACCACATACAAAATCACTCACATGTTCTGAATATATGTTTTGGGATCTGAAATGTGGTCACACTTTGCATTGTTCTGTGCTGGAACAGCAATTCTGGACCCTCATTTGTAGAAAATACCCCCTAGTCATATTTTTCATTTTTCTGGTTTTAATTTCAGGTTGTAATTCATGCTTTTTTTCTTTTCTCTCTCAAAGCTGCCCAAAACACTACCACTATGACTTTCCCTAAATCAGAAACTCTGATAGGCTGTGGCGACCTAACCAAAGCCAATCCGCACACTTGTTTTCTGGACCTGTCCACCTTGACCCTCAAGATTGACACCAAAATTGAACAGGTGAACTGATGTAAACAGCCAGTTTAAAAGAGTTAAACACCACATTTACTGCGATCCTTCATATTGAAGGATTTCTTAGTATTGAAATCATACAAAAACACCTGCTGAGCACTTTAGCACTTTATGAGCAAATCATCCACACAAAATTGAACAAGTCTGTCAGGATGCTCTACTTCCTTTCATTGTTCCTGATCTTCAGCAAAAGCCTGTCTGGCCTTCATCTCCAATATTGAACCTGAGCAGCAGGGGTCACTGTGTGATCTCGAATTGTGTTGAGTAAATCAGTTTTCCAATGTGTTCTGAAAAAGGGCTGAGTCTTTCCTGGCTGCTCCCGCTGGATCTCCTCTGCTTGATTAATGCGCTGTAATTGGGGAGTGATTGGAGCATCGAGCTGAAGCTTCACTGCAGGTGAGGAGGCAAGAATTTAACAAGCAGAGCAAGCAATCAAATGGACAGGGCTACTCTATATTAGCATAGCGAACATCAAGAACTGTGCCGCTCAACACCTCCAGGTTAAAGAGGCAGGCTGTTATTGAATAAATCCATTTGTCAGGACAAATGAGGTGGCCAGGCCCGGCTCTGACAGGCAAGCTTCCAGCAAGGCCAAAGTAGCATGCAGTTTATTACTGGGGTGAAGGAAATTAGTTTTCTCTGAAAATGCGAGCGAGGGCCATTCATTTCCCTGACTCAAACAGACCTGTGGCAGCAGATTTATCTTTGCCATATTGGCTCCGGTCTGGAAAAAGGCAGATCTCCAGGTGGCCGCATAGGATTCTGGGAGATGGGGGCCTTCAGGGGCCAAGTGAACTCACCTCATGTGGTTCGTGTAATTTATTACAGCAGTGGATTCTGATGGAGAATTGTTTTTTTTGTTTGTTTTTTTTGTTTTTTCTCAGAGCTTGACATTTCAAGCTTCTGTAAAAAATGTGAAACTGAAATTCTACAAATAAGACTTTATTCAATTCAAAATAATAAACATAAACAAAATGTATAAAAAGACAAGGCCAAAAGCATTGCATGGTAATTTATTAATATTATTTTTATTATTTATATTTCTTGTTATAAACTGCACTTTTGTGGTTCAGCCTAGAAATACTAAAGCTATACAAATGGCATAACATCAGGTAATCTAAGTGTATCGCTCTAAAAGCACATGTCCATTAGCATGTGTATATGGTGCATAGGTCAATACATAGTCTACCACCAACCAAATGTCTACATCAGTAGGTGATCTGCTGGTCTCTGTTGGTCTTCTTCTCTACTGCTCACTCACTGCTTCTTCCGGATCAGCAGTACTGCAGTGGACATTGGCTGGAACTGGCACTGATGTAAGGGAGCAAAGGGCACGATATTGAGAGAATAATGAGAAAATATTCATGATGAGAAAACTGGAAGGTAAAATAATTTGGTAGTTTAATTTAGCTGTTTAGAAGTTACCTTTGGTTTTCTTGAAGTGAAACATGAGAGCAAACACTATGTGGAATATGATAGTGGCCACAACAGCAATGGGGAGGTAGGTCACAGACTGGCTTGAATGTGGGTCTGCACCTACACAACCACAGCACCAACAGAATATCACATTGAGCAATTTGGTCTAACCCTCATGTTATGTTTAGTCCCCATAGACTTTCTTTAAGCAATAAAAAAACATAGTTAACATTGCTAATAGACACACTTTTGACTTGGCTACATGTTTCAACACATTGTCCATCAATCTGAAGAACAATTTTGCCATGCAAATGGTTCATGGACAATATAACTATTGTCTTTACTACAGAACCCTTGAAGAACCATTTTTAAGGGTGTACGTTGTTGTAGCTAATTGAAAGTTTGGGTAGGTTTGAAATGACAGTGAGGAATATACCACCATACTAACATTAGCTTGATTACATAACAGAAAAATACACCTAATCTATTTCACAGGCATACAAAATAAATATCATTCCAAATTAATAATGCCCTCAACATTTAGGTATTTGTACAAAAATATAGAGTTGCTATGGAGAGCTCTACATTTCCTCATTGAGTTTAACTAGATTTTCACCAGCATTCTGTACCACTTGCCTAACCTTTCAGCAGTATCTATGAAAGAATGCATCTTTGTGGGAGCTTGGATAGGTCAATCACTGACCACATCATATGACAAAGTGCTTAGAATACATTTTGTTGGGTCTGCAGAACAATTCCTTTGACATGTTATATTTTTCAGACTGAGGAATATAGATAGTATTTCATTACATACTTGCTTGTCTAATGTCTGACGCTGGTACTGCTGCAGAAATTGGTGTTGAAGTACCAGGCCCTCTTGTTGAAGTCATAGGGATGTTTATGCATGGAATTATTGGCCGGACAGTTACTTTAAAAAACAGATAAAAAAGTGTTTAACATCTTAAAACATGATTTAGAACAATAAAAACCCTGCTGCTTGATAAGCTATAAAGCAGAAGGTTGGGCTTGGCGGCAAATCTTTGATGAAATGCGATGAAAAACTGTTCTCTTATTATTACTGGGAGAAGTTAGCCCACTGAAGACCATTGTGTCATTTGAAGTGGGGCTCTAAGTCACTTTCCATCTGCTTAACAGATGCCACTATGATAACCACAATCAATGACTGAATGGGGTTTTTTTGGTAATTTCACGCTTACATGTCCAAATTTATGCATACAAGTAATCTCCTTTGGTTAGATTGGCTATGTGGCTTTCTAGTCATAGTAGTTTAACAGGACTTGACATGCTGACATGAAAGAGCTTTTTTTGCTCACAGGTTTATACAAATGTGCACAATCACGTGTAATCGTGTAGAATTAAGAAAAACTCATTTCTCTGACAAATGTGAATATTTCAGCAAAAATCCTTGTAGTAATAGTAATGGTAGCTTCCTAAAGACATAAAGCCTATAACTACACTGTACATACATCTTACAACAGAGTTGCTAGTGGAAAACTGATAAAAAAAGTTTGTGTTTACAGCTTATGTTGGCAAATGCATTTTTTTTACCCTGTAACACCCGCCTGGTATGCCTGCGGTATACCTTTTACAGTGGATATACACATGACCATGTCAGTTACAGTGTGGAAACACTCATACTCTCCCTCATCCTCTTCAGTCAGGTGTGGTATGAGTAGAGAGAAATTTCCTGTAGAGACATCATCAAACAGCTGAATTTGTCTTCTTCCTCTGTACTCGTAGTCTACATCTCTTCCGCCTGATTTGTCTCGTTTGGACCAGTAGAATTGCTGAGGTTCCTCTGAATGTTCATAAGAAGAGCAAGGCAGGAATGCTGAGTCTCCAGTGTACGCAGTAATGTACACATTCCTACTGAAGTATGTATAAATACCTATAGAAATAAACACAGAGAACATCCTTCATAAAAATGATTGGTCTTAGAGGGGAAATCTTTAAAAAAAAGTTTATATTTTATAAACCTTATATTGTGTCGCTAATTACTGTGTAGTTACATGTTAATAATACATGCAACAACTGTAACTACTAGTGATTGTTCACTGTTGGATTACAGTAGTACAGCTTATGTAAATACACATGTATCAACTTTAGTTTTTACATGTGCGTTTACCCAAGTGTGCCTTTATAGTTGTAACAGCATGTTTTCTTTTATGTGATTACACACATGTAACAGAGTGAAGTGCACCTTAAATATCACATTACGGAATGATTTAAAGCCACAACTCTGGTCCAGTTACCATGTCACAGTACAAGCATACTGCTACACCTAGCCAGATGTTAGAAATTTGGCCTTTGCCGTGTAGGAACTCTTATAATGTATGTTATTACACAAAGTTACAAACAGAAAATCTACTTTCAAATATGAATGATTAAGTTGTTGTTTATGGACCTGTTATGATAAGATATTAGCTCAGATGTTTATTGCATTTAACGTTATCACAAATGCATATGAGATGTAATAATAAACCATATCACTGGTTATTTTACTGTCCTTAGTTCCTTCCAGTGCCTTTGACTCAAAACACTGCTGACCAACTTTAATTTAGACTGTAATATTCAATCTGTTCACAACTCTACATGTGCATAACCCAATCTATTCACAACTCTACATGTGCATATCCATAAGTCCTGTGTCGCATCCTGGAATAATCCAAAATGTTTCACAGCTGATATGTTTTGTCTGTGAACATTCTTCTCTCAAATGTCACTGGATTAGTGTCATTACAATGTCATTAAATGGTTGAAATATGAATATTACTACATGTAAGCTAATGCTACTGCGCACTGAATTGACATCATTAAACTGGCAGCCTCCTTAAAAAAATGCGCAAACCAGCACAGTTTGCCAGTGTGATAGTTTATTTCCATGTATAGACTGAGGGCAGATGAAAAGAGGTCAGAACAAAAGATGCAGTTATCTGTTATTAATCTGATTCTCACTGAAATACAATAGATCTTTCCGTTCTGTACATAGCATGATTTGAAAACCTCTACAAACCTACCTGCACTTAGGCTAATTCAGTTCAGACTCATCTTAATATTACTACTGACCACCTGATGAGCTAATTTAGGCTCAAAATATAAAAATATCTTAATTATTATTTTAATACTGGTAACATCTTCTGAGGACATTTTCTCAGGTCTTTCCCCAGCTTCTTGTTCAAATTTTCTCATTCCACCTTAAATGGTGCAGTAGTTACTGAACTGCTGCTCCATTTAAAGTGGGGCAGGGGAACTTGAACAAGAAGCTGGCAAAAAAAGAAGCTACATTCAGCCTCGTAGTTTTAACACTCGTGGTATTTTTTGACAAGGAGTTTTAGACTATCAAAATGTCCTACTTGGAAGTTTTATTTAAGGCTATACCTATAAAAAAGCTATAGCAGGATGCCTTAGTTTTGTGGAGCTTAGTGACATCAGATTGATGCACAGTAGCTGATGTGTAGTAATACTATTATTAAGGCTCTTTAACAACCTCATAATTCAGAGGAACCAATTATATTTCATATAAGGACAAAATGTATCAGGTTCTGAACATTTTTATTTAACATGGGAGTGATAGAGGTGATTTTTTGAAAACCCTATTCATTCTGGCCATAGAGAAATGAAGCTTAGACCTGGAGTTCCTAATATGGGCATAACGCGGACTACAGAATAACATACGACTACAGTGGTTCTTGCAGACATTGTAAAACCCCCATTAAAACATTCTTTCTTACAGAACTGCTTCACACTACTACAATGCTATATGTTCATCCCAAACAGTACAAAGCATTTTCCAGGTAGTGTTTTGAAGTGTCAAGGTGCTCTTTGGAAAACATCAAGCGTACAGACACCTGCCTGTTCTATATTTTACACATGATAGTTAATGAACAGCAGAGTTGACCAGTTCTAGTGATCCTTTCAAGTCTTTTGTTACTCTAAGGCTCTTTTTTATAACAATATTCATTGCATTCACAATTCTACATGTACACAACCCAAACCATTCACTGACAACATAACCACATCCTTCAATATTCCCTAGAGGCAATGAAGACATATTGGACAACTCCATCAAAACTGGTTGTTGTAAGACTTATCATTTAGTGTCCTGTTATGAATGATTCACTAACAGAGCTAATAGATAAGTTATGTAGTATGAGAGTGAAGAACTGAATGAACCCTGGCAGTTAGCTATCTAGGTAAAAAGTAGATCAGGAAAACATGTGGTGTCATTGTTTCTGAAAGTGTAAACAAAAAACAACACTCACCTCCAGGATAAAGATGCAGGATGAGAAAATATAAAAAATATAAATGCACGTGCATTTTTGCTGAGGTCAAAACACTCTCTGAATACGCTCTCTGCAAATGTGACAGAGTTCAACTGCAGCAAGTGTTCTCATAAGCAGAGACACTGCATGTGTATATAGTGTTTATATATATACAGTCTTGCAAGGAAAAGAGAAGTGCATATGTATATATTTGAGGAAGAGATAAAGAGAGACAGAGAGAGAAAGAGAGAGAGAGAGAGAGAGAGAGATAGACAGACAGAGAGACACAGAGAGAGAGAGAGAGGCAGATATAGGAAATAATAAAGAAAAGGGGGAGGAGAGAGAGAGAGAGAGAGAGAGAGAGAGAGAGAGAGAGAGAGAGAGAGAGAGAGAGAGATCGTGGTATATGCTCCTGTATTTTGTTGAACTAGTCAATAGCTGTACCCAGCAGGCTACCATGTCTTCTATAGTGAGTTCTATATCATTATAAATACTGAGTACACTGGTTTTAAACCAAGGGCTGGATATTTTAGTATACATTTACAAATGTTTCTGTACAAACAGTTTATTGAAATATGAGCCAACTTATCAAAAGCATGAACTTAGTGGACATTTGACATAGTGGATGTCTCTTTCTCTGTCCCTCTTCACAAATGTGCCTCTGACCAAATGGCTGAAGGAGAGTGGACTGTTACCACATGTGTGCTGTGTTTTATGTTGTGTTTTTACTCTCTTGTGTTGGGGTGTTTTTTCTTGTTAGTGGTGGCTTCTGTTGGGTAAATCTCACCAGCACACTCCCATCTCAGTTTACAAGAGCTGCTTGATTATTTGCACCAACCGGGGTTTCAAACAGGTAAGAGGGGTGCACTTTTACACTCGCACCTCAGTGGTTTCTATTCTGTCTACCTCCCAAGTTCAGAGGGTGGGCACCCTCCCATGTTCTTTTGTTTATGGGCCAGGGAAGATAAGTGAAGTTAGCTTTTGAATCATTTTTGTGGTTGGCTTTAATCATATAGCTGCAAAAGCTCTTGTTTGTCTGTTCTATATGCTTTTATCCCTTCATCACCAGCTCATTGTTTTAATGCCACGTGTTACTGATCCCACAGCGCCCTAGACAATGGTTTTCAACAATTAGGCATGCAATTAGGCCCTGGTGACTGTTTCCAAATTGGCACACTTGTGTCAAAGTGTTAAGATCTTGCTTAACGTCCTCCTTTGGTAAATTAAAGGCTCAAATGTCCTCCACAAATGAAAACCAAAGACCCCCAATTATTTCTGTTAAACCATTAGATATAAAACCCATAGTTTGATTCCCCTTTTTGGAGAAAAGTTTCAAACTGATCATTTTTGCTTGTGTATTCTCAAAGCCCTGTTATGAATGTGCAAGGCATGACAGTAGCTCTCTCACACTCTCTCTCTCCCCCAGCATGTGCTTCCCTCTGAAAAGGAGAACTATATACTTTCACTCTAACTGCAAACTTTTAAAATAGTCTTGACTCAGATGAGATCAGTGAACACACTTCCACAATAAGAGACACTGGGCAAAATGACATCGATGGGAGAGTTGCAAGACACAAACTACTGCTGAACAAAAAGAACACAGACTCATCTCACATTTGCCAAAAAATATCTAGATGACCCCCAAGACTTTTGGGATAAAATTCTGTGGACTGACAAGTCAAAGGTGGAACTTTTTGGGAACTGTAGTCCACCATACGAACATCATACCAACAGTCAAACATGGTGGTGGTAGTGCGACTTGTCATAATTGATGGAACCATAAATTCTGGTCTGTGAAAAAGTCCTGAAGGAGAATGTCTGCCTGTCAGTTCTTATGATAGGCTTATGATCCAAAGCACACAAGGAAGTCCACCTCTGAATGACTCAACTAAATTAAGATTTTGGAGTGGCCGTGTCAAAGTTCTGGCCCAAATTCCTTTGGGATGCTGTGGCAAGACCTTAAATGGGCAGTTCATGGTCAAAAAACCTCCAAAGTACCACAAAACAATTTTGCAAAGAAGAGTGGGCCAAAGATCCTCCACAGTGATTAAAAAGACTAATCACAAGTTATCATAAATGTTTGCAGTTACTGCTAAGGATGGCACGACCAGTTACTAGGTTTAGGGGGGCAATTACTTTTTACATGGGTGGTACAGGTTTTGAATGAATCTCCATCTTCAATAAATGGAATGGTCATTTAAAAGCTGCATTTTGTGTTTACTCTTGTCTTTATTTTAAATGATTGGATGATCTGAAACATTTAAATGTGTCAAATTAGCAGATCAAGTGAGGGGTAAATACACTGATAGTCAAAAAAAACAGTTGCACCCAGAAGGAATCGACCTACAGTAATAAAACTTGGTAGGTAGGTTTAACGTCGTGAGATGCAAATGATTCAAGTTTCATGCTCAGCTGCGCATGTGACATAAGCACATATATATAGTATATGCATGCTCCCTTTGGGAAACACTATCCAAATTACAATATTGCTTTTCACTGTTATGCCAATGATACACAACTTTATCTGCCACTGAAGTCAAATGATTTCTGTTCCTTGAATGCTTTTGGAGCACATCAAAATATGGTTGAGAAATAACTAAGTGAAAACAAATCTGACATTATCTTA